CCTGGGCTAGGACTGGGTCTGGGGTCTCCCGGAACTCGGCAGAAAATCCTACTAAGCGGGCGGGGTGGGGGAGGCCTGTGAAGTCTTTATGTTTCAGGGACCTAGGCTCCATCAAGAAGACAAATGCCATCCATGGCTTAAAGTCCTCAGGATACCTATGTAATCTAGATGGCTCAGTTTCCCCCCTGAAAGTCATAGTGGCTCACTCTAGGCTCACAGAATCATACCCTGCCCCAGCAGATTCAGGATGAGGAACCAAGAGTAGGAAAGGAGGAAGTAGTTTAAATACACACCATTATCCACACCTAACCTGAGATTCAGATCTTTTATACCCGCCACTCCAGGGGCCCTCCCCTTCATCCTACTGTCATGCTGTATGAGTTACTTTACACCTGTTCTAGCTCTCTGTCTCCTAGCTCCACAGTTTCAGTTCTACATCTAGAAAAGCTGTTCCATTTTGCCGGTCAACTCTGGTTTCTCTTCACCATTGACAGTGCCCAGATTTCTTCTCCTGCCACTTGGTTGATCTGATTCCCTTAGGATAGCTTAGAGTCTAAAGCCAAATCTCTGATGCTTCAACCTTCAGATAAAAGCTTAGTCTTTCTATGGGAGATATAAGTCCTGTAGCATTTCCCCACTTCTAATCATTCCAACAACCAAAGCAAACAACAAAAAAATTAAATAAATAAATGAATGAAGAATGCAGCTATAAACATTCCAAATAGTTTCGTTTCCACAGGGAGTCCTTCAGCAGCTGTCTCTCAAAGAATGCATCATTCACATCCTCTCCCAGCCACTTTTATTTTTCTTTGCCTCACTGTTTTATGCTTCCTTGTTAAAGAAAGGCAATAAAGTTGAGAATATGTCAGGAAGTTGAGTAATCTCTTATTTAGTCTTCCTACCTATTTTAAGAGTTGAGACATCCATCTCTGTGTTAAAGGGTGATTATTTCAGCCTCCTTTTAAAAATATCTTTAAAATTTGGAAAAGTTATGCACATTTAGATCAAGAATGTCCTCCCAAAGACCTCATGTGCTTATAGGCAAGGCTTTTGGAAGATGACTGAATTGTCATGGTAGGGATATAGCTCACTTGGTTTTAGGACATAAGGTCTGGACAGAAAAGTCACTGTGGTGTCAACCTGGAGGAGTATATCTTTTCCAGCTCCTCACTTCCCTCCCTGCTTCCTGGGACATGAACAGCTTTTCCTCCACTATGGACTTCTGCTATACCATTCTACTTCAGAACCAACCTACTATGAACTCAACCATAAACCAAAATAAATCTCTGTTCCTTTAAGTTGTTCATGTTAGGTATCATGTCTCAGTGACAAGGGAGTGACTGAGACAGTACATTCTAACCTATAGGGTTGTGGGTAATGGTTAGGCACAGAAATGTCATTGAAAGACTGTATCCTTGTCTTTCTGGAAATGCTGACTGCATTTCCTGGGGCATGCAGAACTTCTGAAAGGATTATAGTGCTTCCAATTTTGAACTGCATGGTGACTTCAAAGTATGCACATATGCAAAAAATGTTTGAGTTATTTTATTGCATATGGGTTATACCTCGGTGAAAACAAATATATCATAAAGAAAAAAGTGTTATGTTTATTGACATGGAAATACATTTACTCTGTGTGAAATGAGAAAATAATTTGTGAAATAATTTGAATGATACAAACCTGTTTTGTGCCCAATCTGCTTTTGTAAATAGCATCCTAATGAAACAGAACAGAGTTCCGTTGCTTATGTATCATCTGCGGCTGCTTTGGTCCTGTGTATTAGTTTACCTGGGCTGCCCCGTCAGAGTAGCACAAACTGAGTGGCTTCAGCAATAGAAACGTCCTGCCTCACAGATTAGGAAGCTGGAAGTCTGAGATCAAGGAGTTTGCAGGACTATGCTGCCTCTGCAGATAAAGGGAAGGGTTTGCTTCAGGCCTCTCTCCTGCTTCTGCTGGCCCCTGGGCTGTGGCAGCACGAGGCCCATCCTCACATGGTGCTCTTGCTGTGTGTGCTATAGCTGCTCTCTGCCTTTTTTTTTTTTTTTCTTTGTTTCAGTCCTGATCTTAAAGATGTTAAACCCAGAGCCTCTGTACTGAGCTACATTGGAGCCCTTAAATTTTTTTCCTTAGATTTTAACGTAGGGTTTTGCTAAGTCATTAAGTGGCCCAGTGTTATTTGTGTCTAGATGTACCCAAAAAGCCTTGTGGAGTCATGGGCAGGCTTCTATAGGTTTTGATTCACTCATGGTCCAATGATGGGATTATGGGTGTGAGTGAGGCTAGGGTGGGCACCCTGCATACAGTATAAAGATGAGAAAGAGGCTTGCTGTCTGCCACTGCTCCCTTTTTGCTCTTGATGCTTTGGCTGTTTCCCACTGTCCTGAACTGCTGCCATCTTCCATGTGCCACTCTGCCTTGGAGCCAGTCTGAGTATGGACTGAAACCTTCACAAACTGTGAGCTAAATAAACCTTTCCCTCCTTAGTTTATGTATTTTGTTGCAGCGATGAGAGTAAAGTAATCAAGACATCTAGTGACTGAATTCCTCTTTTTTTCTTGAAGAATACCAGTCATACTGAATTAGGGGCCCACCCTACTCTTGTGTGATCATACCTTAACTAATTACATCAGCAATGACTGCCTCCAAATAAGATCACATTCTGGGGGTTAGGACTTTAGTATACGATTTTAATATTTTTTTTTTGAGAGAGAGGGACATCTCAACAAAAATTGTGTGACCAACACAACACAAAACTATATTCATTACATTAAAAGTTTGCAAAACCCTCTGTGTGTGTGTATGTGTGTGTGTAAAAATATGCACATAAAAACCTGTGAAGGCTGCTTATAAGTATGTTACTATCTTTTCTGAGTTACAAAATAATGGGGTATAGAATTTTATAATTAGTTATAGAATTTAAATTTTAAGTACATTCCTAATACTTTTCTATGTTATTTGAGTTTTCAAAAACTTATTATGTAATAATTTTTGTAATATAAACTAACAGCTGACAAGTTTATTTTGGGAGGAAAAGACACTAGTTAGTCCCTGGCCCCTGCCTGCACCCCGCCCCCTGTGGTTTGTTGCGCTCTGTTGCAAACTTTTCTAAAACAGGTTACTGTTCCCTACTGCTGGGAGGTGTTAAGGACAAACACTTAGCAAACCAACAGAGCCTGTGTGTTTACTTACTATGGATTCTTCATATCTTTATTTAGCTGCCTCTTGTAAGTTGGAGAGAAAAGGTTTTGGCTTTTATATTCTCATTAAAAATAGATCCTTTTATGACGAGGATGGACAAGCCATGACTCACCAACCCCAGCATATGTAATGCCAGATCAGGCCTCTCAAATGGGGCTTTGAGCTGATACCAAGCCATCCCCGTGACTCCTTGGTTTCTTGTCATTTCAGGAAATTGGACGCTTTCATCTATGATGCAGCAGTCTTGAATTACAAGGCTGGGAGGGATGAAGGCTGCAAGCTGGTGACCATTGGGAGTGGGTACATCTTTGCCACAACTGGCTATGGAATCGCCCTCCAAAAGGGCTCACCTTGGAAAAGACAGATTGACCTGGCTCTGCTCCAGTTTGTGGGTGATGGTAAGACCTTGGAACACCCCCTACTTTGAAGAGTCTTGAAATCCTAATACTGGTTTACCAATAAGTATTTGTGCAATGAGTTTGCTCATGGAAAGTATCTATTAAGTGCCTATCATGTGATGCATGCTTCCTTAGGTTGCTTAAAATGGAATGCAATTCTAGATGGTTTAATTTAAAAAAAGAAAATTATTTTAAGGATACAGAAGCATCTCTCAGTGAATTTAAGAGGGTTGAACAAACACGTTTAGAATAAAACAAGAACAAATAAATTTAGAACAAAACAAGTCCCAAATCTTGGAATCCAGAGGTGTTCTCTCTAGAGAGGTGGTCCTCAACGGAAGAGGAGAAATTTTATCTTTCTGAGAACATTCGACAATATCTGGAGGCATTTTCAATGGTCCCAACAAGACAGCTATTGACTACAACATCTAGTAAATATGGGTTAGGGATGAAGGATGTTGGCAAACATCTTACACTGCCCAGGCCACCACCATGTATCTCTAAACATAGAATTATGTGACCCTAGTTATGTTAGTAGCAGGGCATTGTGAGATTTTGCTCTGCAGTATTACATAAGTAGGTTGTTTAAATTCCTATCTCTATCTTCAAATTCTACATTTCAAACTACACAGAATTCCTTATCAATTCTGGGTCGAATACTTTTTTCTGAACCCATCAGGTCTGACTAAGAGGTGGAGTCATGTTGTGTTCCTTGTTGTCATCTTGTAGATGAGCAAAACTGGGAAATTTCTAGAAAAGGGACAATGGGCAGAAATCCCATGGAGTTTTAGTACAGCCCATCCCTAATACTGGCTAATATGCAAAACATACACCTCCCACCTCCACAAAGTTCATAGGGCATTAAGTCATTTAGGGATCTGAACAGCCTAGTGAATCACTATGGACCTAGAAGAATTTCCTCCCATCCTTCTTTGCTTCAGAGAGCTCTCACCACAGCCCGGGATCCCTGACATGGCTTTTAGAATGTAACTATCTGAGTCATGGCTTCTTCTTGAATTGCTACACTGAGAGAAGAGAAGAAAAATCAGCATAAAATGCAGGTTGGCACCAGAAATTTGCTCAGTGAAAAGAGGATATGTGAGCTCAGGGTAAGGGGCAGAAGCCCTATTCCAGAGGCTATATTCAGTGATAAGTTCAGAATATTCTATGTTTGTCTAAAGTTAAGAGAGGAAAATGTAGCAAGCCCAAGAGCTGAATGCAGTATGGCAGAGGTTGCTGCACAGGGTTGTGTGATTTTGAAGGGAGTGCAGACTTTCTTGCATTTTTTTCCCCTCTGACTACAACCAGAATTAAATCCTGGACTCTCATAGGCCATCAGACATTCTAAATGTGTTTTTTATTTAACTCTCAAATAAGTATATATCTGATTCTCAGAATTCCCTACAGGGTATTTGTGCCTTCCTCAGATTGCTGGTTATGGTCCATGCTGGTAATGGCGATTTGTAGCTGTGTTGGTCAGCTTTGCTGTTAAATCTTAGAGGCGTGCAGAAATAAATATTTAGTGTGCTCATGGAACTCCACCTCATGCTGGAGTGGATTTGACAGTCCTAAACCTGCAAACCAGTGTGTCACTGCTGTGACTTCTGCCCCATGGCCAGTTGTTCTGGCTGCCAAGTTGACCAGCCACTGATACCTGTGGAAGCCCTTGCCTCTGCTGGAAGAACAGAATGGACAACCTGCAAACTTATGCATACTTCAAATCTCTGCTTCAGTATATTTTTGTCTGCTAATAACCTCACATCCAAAGCAAGTCCAAGCCCTAAGTCAGAAGATTCGAAATGTACTCTTTTATGGGTAGAGATGTGGAGTTTTGGAGGGAGGTTGAAATCTGAAGAGTGAAGACCAACTATTCCATCTATTGCTGGGGTTGCCTAAGTGCCTATACACATGGTGTACTACTCAGCATAAGGAATCTAATCTCAAGCAGTAAATATCACAGAACTCTAAGCATATAGGTAAATATGTGTATGGGTTAATGGTTGGTATTAGGATGTTTTTGATTTGACAGGAAACTTTTAAATATGATAGGTATCTGTCAAAAGATTGAGTCCTAACTCTAGCCCTATCCATCTTTATTGTTTCTCTTGTGACATCTATTATGAAATGGTAAAGTATTTCAGGACTAGGAGACATCAATTGTCATACTGGGTGCATTGCAAGAATTCTTTAATTTAATCTTCTTAAGCTCAGGGACCTTATAAATGCCCTCATTGTTAAATGGAAAGGTCTTTACTTAATGGCTCTCATTCTGTCAGGGGATTAGTTAGGCAAAATCTCTATTTCATTTATTTTTCTAAGCTATCTATCCAAATTTACTAGTTAGATACTGCACTAAAAATTTATAAACTCTTTAGGAAGATATAATTTAGTGCATATCTGAACAAAATGTGCATTTTCCTGCTTACAAATACAGATGTGAAAGGAACGATCTATCTTCTTTAGCCTCAGTATACTCATCTGTGAATAGATTCAGACATATTTGCCTGATAAGGTTGGCATGAAGATGAAATGGGAAAACTTTCATGCAAAAATTTTAGTACAGCACAACACCTTGACATAAAAATAGCTCAACAAACATCGGCCGCCACCCTTGTCATCTCTTTTACGATCCTCACCACCCTCAGCAGCGTGAATCTCTGTGATGCATTGTTACCATCATAATTGCCAACTCCACGACCTCGCTATCATTGCCAGAACCACCGCTGTCGCCTCCATCATAACCAACGTCTCCCTCTTCCTAACCCCCACCCTGTAGCCCCATTAACACCGTAGTTATCTGTGCACCCACTTTTGTATCCAGCACAGCTCCTTAGTGTTGTACTGTAGTCATGTTGCGTTACGGAGACAGACTTTGTGGTGCCGAACACAAGGTGTCTCGGAAGCATCCCGTAGATGCTTACTTGCAGAACATCCAGGTTCTTGTAGAATTTTTTTTTTTTTTTTTTTATGCTGGGTCATTGCTTTCCTGGCCATACTGTCAGGGTTGGGAACTCTGTCTTTGTTCAACCTCATCTTTAGAGGCCATCTGGAAGCAAAGACATTGGATTGAAAATGACGTTCCTCCAGGGGGGCGTCTTCAGATAATCTTCCCGGAAAGCCATGTCCAATTCTGAATGTCTCTCTAGGAGTAAATACATGAATTAACACAGCTGCATAAATATTTCACTTATCTTATGCAGCTTCAGCAGGATTAATTATGCTCTAAAATTAGACCTGTAAAGAGCACAGTGCCAAGCAGTACCTAATTATTATTCATCCTTTAGAATGGAGTGTTTATCTCTTGTTATAGAGTAGTTTCAGTGGACGATTACGAGTCTAATGAGTGTCAAAAGTATTTAAAAAAAATTCCTAATGAGCTGTGTAAATATAACCTTTGAATGGCGTATTTGGTTATTGGAGGAATCTTTCTTTAATTTTTTAAAAATTATGTATTTATTTGGCATTGGATCTAACTATACAGTTCAGACCCATGATGCTCCTGTTTCAGCCTCCCCAACACTAGGATTACAGGTATGTGCCATCATTCCCAGTTTCAGTATGATGGCACAGCATGTAGCACCAGGGACTGAACTTGGGTCCTTGTGCTTGCCAGGCAGGCACTTAGACCACTGAGCTATCTCCCCAGTCCCTGGAGGAACCTCTCATGCAAAGGCTGCCAGGCATTTTCCTAAGAGGAAGGGCTACTGATCTGCTTTGAGGACTGCTCAGAATCCCCAAGTGACCTGGCCTTCCTCCTCCTGTCTGATTGTGTCCTTTGCTAAATGCTGAAGGACACCATGGGTTCCTTGGCTCTCAGTAGTTTGGAAAAAGTTCTCACAGGTACTTTTCAGCCTTGACCAGTGCTAATACCCAACATGTTTTTGGAAACAGACACCTTTCTAGGTTTAAGAAAGGGTTGTCAGAGACTTTTTGTTCTTTCCCTCAAAAGGCTTATAATACAGCTGGTTGACAGTATGCAAACTTAAAATATCAAAACTTAAAATAGAAACACTTTTGTAATTCTTCATAGATATAAATTCATATATATGTACATGTATTCCTCTTTACTCAGATGTCTTGGGTAGTTAAGAGGGTGGTCAAGTGGATAAATAAGACATGCAAACTTATCTTAAAGGGAAATGAATGGGTAGAATAAGTCGTGAAGACCACATGTAGTCCTACTTAGACAAAGAACAGCATGGACTAGCAGTAATGGAAGCCCCAGTGATTCATTCATCCAGCAGCAGGCAAACCTCTATTGAGTACTTGATACCATCCTGACACCTAGAATGCATCATCAATGAGAACACAAAGACTGTGTGAGCCTGTGACCTAGAGACAGGCATTTCTTGCTTCAAAGTGGTGGTGAACAGGGTCTCTTAGGTTCCTTCTAACTAATGAACTTTGTGACTTGTAAGATATGGTAGGTAGATCACAGAACTCAAAACCTTTCTTGTACATAGGAGTCAGCAAAAAGACATCAAGGGATTGAGGCTGTGTCATTACATTATTCAGAAGTAAGTGATGCTGAGAGAAACGTAAGAAAAATATTGTTGAGCCCCTACTCTAAGAGCTAGTACCATGCCAGGTATATCAAATATGATAGCTGAGTAACTCTTCATGTGATAATATGGAGTAGGTCTGAGGTCAAAGTCGGTTAAGTGGGGTACAGCTGCACGGTTCCCACTGACCATCTATAAGGACCTTGATCAAAGCAAAGATTTTTGTATCAGTAAGTCTGCAGTGGTGCCCAATAGGTTGTGCATTTCTCACAAGCTCACAGGTGGTGTTGCTGGGCTGTGGACAGCACCCTGTATAGAATGTAAAGATGCAAAACTATAATCAAGTCCATCTGATTCCAGTTTCACCTTTCCATTAAACAATGCTGGCTGTGTTATCTATTAGCACTGCATATTTTAACATTGAAAATAATTTCATGTTTCTTTATCCTTATGCCTTGTTCATTTTTCATGGCTGTGTGTTTAGTTTTATACTCAGAA